CGGCCTGCAGAGCGGCCAGACCATCGCGCTGCCGGCGCAGGGCCTCATCGAGTTCCGCGACGCGCTGGCCAAGCTCATCGACGACTACGGGGCCGAGGACGACGAGCTGTCGGGCGGCCCGGGGGGCGGCGGGCCGGGGGCCGGCCTGTACGGGGAGCTCCCCGAGGGCACCTCCATCACGGTGGACTCCAAGCGCTTCTTCTTCGACGTGGGCTGCAACAAGTACGGCGTGTTCCTGCGGGTGAGCGAGGTGAAGCCGTCCTACCGCAACGCCATCACCGTGCCCTTCAAGGCCTGGGGCAAGTTCGGGGGCGCCTTCTGCCGCTACGCGGACGAGATGAAGGAGATCCAGGAGCGACAGCGGGACAAGCTTTACGAGCGCCGCGCGGCGGGCAGCGGCGGCGGCGACGAGTCGGAGGGCGAGGAGGTGGACGAGGATTGAAGCGCGCGGCCTCCCCGCCCCGCCGCCGTCCCCGTGCCTAGCGAGCTCTCTCTCCCGCTCGTCCGCAGTGAGCTGGGGGGGAGAGCAGGGGAGGCCGCCGCGAGCCAACAAAAAAATAATACAGTTACGAGAACAGTCGAGGACAATAGGAGAAAATCAGTAAAGTTCCAAGAACTGACAGCAACCTGCAAAGAAGGCCGACAGCGTCTCCTCAACCTACAAAAGTCTCAGCTTGTTTCCCAGCCGGGGTTCCTCGCCCCATCTGGCGAACCCTGGAGAGAACAGATCTTCGAACGTCTGGGCCCCCAAACGAGTTCTCGCAGACCCCACCCATTGATCACAGTTGAATTTGCGTTGTACCCGGGTAATCTCAAGAGCTCACCAGGCCTCATCGCTGTTGCAGCGTCTTCACCTCCATTGAAATCAGCGTTTGCGATTTAGAGCTTCGTGGAATCTTTAGAAGAGAGAGGCCTTTGCAGATACCCAGTGCTGAGGGTACGGGTTTGTGGAAAAGAATGCAACTTTACACAATCGCAGACAGGGCAGAAGAAGAATTCAAGAAGCCATTGGAAAATACAGGAAAAAAAAAAAAAAAAAAAAAAAA